TATTCAGTTAATATATATTTCAATATTTGCATGTTAGCATACGAAAGATTTGTCCCAGTTATTGACTGTTGTGTCCTCCATGTGCACATTAATCTAACAAAGTTCAAATATTAAGCAATTGTGCTTACCGGCAACTCGTGTACATTCGAATGCGAAGAGAACTAATTTAAAGGCCAGCAAACCTTTGGCGTCTTTAAATGCAGCCAATTGCAAGTAGCTCAAGCAATGTAATTGAATTATGAGACTTTGTTGCTTGTTTTATTGTTGCTGCTGTTATTGTTGTGGTTTTAGTTGCTGCTGTTGTTGGAGCTGTATGGCAATTAGCTGGCCCATCAGTTCAAATGCCAGTTTGCTGCTGTCAGGGAGCGGCAGCTGCTTACTCATCTGCTCCATGTTCCTGCACAATTAATGCGACAGCGACATCGCGTATACGCCACGTGCAACAGGCTGTTGCAACGCAGCCCGTCCACGTATTGTGGCCAGCTAATTGCGTCTGCTAATATAGAAATCTCGATGGATAATTGTATATTCGTGTAGCAGCCGGGAGCATAAGCCTTGAGGCCAGCCAGGCTAATTGCCTAGTGGACAGCTCGTCTTGGATGGAAGCGAACAGATCGGGAAAAGCGCATTTAGAAAATTTAATCAATTGCGAGTTGCGTGCATTCACATGAAAAGTGAACATGGAGAACGCTTTGAAAATTATAGAGCAATAGCATTCATAAAAAATAATTTGAGGCCGAAAAAGTGTATAATCGCAAGAATAAGGTCAAATTTAAGAAATTGTCGAATGATCTAACCAAGAAAAAGCGTGATAGCAAAGGAGAAAAGTGACCAAAGTAAAAATTTGTATTATTGTGAAATTTGAAGAGGAAAATAATTGCTAAAAGAACTATACAGGAAAATGGAAGTCGCATAGAAAGTAACATTCAAAGTGTTGAAAAACTAAAGGAAAATATAAATTGAAAGCTCAAATAATTGAGCCAAGATTCCGAGAAGTGTTTTAAGTTTTGATGTTGGCAAATAGTTACTCAGCTTGTGATTTGGAACTCAATTAAATGCAAAATTTGTTGAACAGGAAATGAATACATAAATACTGATAAATATGGATAATTAATGAGCGACATAATTAAAATCATGTAGCCAAATGGCTGCTGTTGGACTCGCACAAAAAATGTGACGCTGCATAAATTAAACTCCAATTGAAATTGATGTTTGCCAAAAATGGTAGAAAAACAAAATACGGCGAAGAAAAATGGCCGCTAGCTAGGAATACTTGGATAATATGAGGGACAATAAAGGAGCAATCGATACTATTGGCGGGGATTGAGCTGAAATAATTATATGTACATATGGCTGGATACTGAATACTCTGATGATGAATTGTTGCCGCTTGCTGTTTACTGCTCAACATGGACACAATTTGTGTAAGTGTGTGTGTGTGTGTGTGTGTGTGTGTGCGAGAGAGGGGCTGGCGGGGTGAGGCATGTCGCTGAGTCGGCTGAGTGTCGCCTAGTTAATGTTAATGTTTATGTGGTAAATGATGCTGGCGGCGCAAGTAGCTCTGCAACGGAAATCGAAACACAACACACAGTACCACACACACACACACACACATACACAGAAAGAGCCAGCAGAATTGGCAACACAATTTGGTCATGCAACAAATTTTGCTACTGTAAGTGTGTAAGTGTGTGTGTGTTTTTTTAAAGCAATTATAATAATAAATGAGTTTAGCTATTGCGAATTGCCTCCAGTCGATTGCTATGGGTGTGTGTATGTGTGTGTTTTTGTGTGTGTGTGTATGGGTCACTTAATGCAATTATGCTCTATGTGTGTATGTGTGTGTGTGTGTGCGCGCACATTTTCTGGCTCATTGCCTGACCAAACTGTTCTTTCACAGCGCACCATGGCACACAATCCTGAAAGCTTGTCTTTTATATGTAAGAAAATTCTGTTAACAATCGATTTGATCGCAATTTTATTTGCTTTCGTTTTGTTTTTTGCTTAAATAATTTGCAAACGGGCATCAAAGATGATTATCCATAATTGAATTCGTCATAAATTCTAAATATATTAATATATTTATTTATATATATATATAACTTTGACGGACTGTTAGCTGATCAAACGTTTTTTTGGGCAAAGGCCGATCAGCATGAATTTAGTTTTCAAGGCTCTACATAAAAGAGAGTTGCCCTTAAATCGTATACTTTTGATGTATAAAATGCCTCACATGCCAGGTTTCAATAGGCTAGTTTTGAAGGATATGAAGTTCAGATCTCCATAAACTGATTGAGCTCTGAAGTTACGAATAATGCCCACAAATATGGTTTTGCACCCTACGGTGCCGTGCAGAAAGTTTTCCACTTAGCCGCCTGATTAGCTGCTAGCATGGCAGTTTTTTATTTTATTTTTTTTGTTTTGTTGCTGTTCATTTATTTAGCTGGAATTTCGGCTATAATTTGCAGCTAATCAAAGTTGGTTAAGTGTTTTTCTTCTTGTTGTGCACAAAAAAAAACAAACTCAACCGCGTCGGAAAAAAATTTAATTTCTTACACAAATTTTGATAATCAATATAAATTTACCTAGTCTTATATTGAAATATTTTCGAATCATATTTGTTTTACTTTTCGCACATCAAAAAAAAAAAAAGAGAAAAAATGAAAACAAATTTAAATGTGCGTATGATTTAATATATATATGGGTACACAGCATGCATAATACATCTAGCGCGACTCGGTTTTCCCTTGCGGAAAAAGACTTACATGGCGTGAAAAATGTTTGCTTGTTGCCGTTTCTTTTGCTTGGTTTTTGTTTTGTTTAATTAACGCGCTGCGCCCGCTGTTCGCTTATTTATTTATACAAATTATTCGAAATTTATCTGGCGCCAAAAACACATCACAAGTCCCGCAACTGAATGCTCGCCGACGAAAGCGTCTGCTCACCCGCGCCTCAACTGGCCAAATGAGCCGGCCGAAGTGTGCCGCTGGCCACAGCGAAGCTGTCCATCACAACCAGCCCAACTCTCTCTCTCTCTCTCTCTCCCCTTCCAAACCTACCCAACCCACCCACTGAACAGTTCGCCCCAGTTGCGCCCACTGTAACTGTGCGAAAGCCTGGCAAACTGCTTTGCCGACACTTAAGCAAGCAGTGGGCTCTGCGCTGAGCAACAAGTTGCAGCAAAACTATGGCGTGTGTTCGCGTGTGTTCGCGTGTGATGTGTGTGTGTGTGTTATACCCTTTGCCCTTAAAGAGTGTAAGAGACGCATCATAAAATGTTGGAAATGAACTATGAACCATGTATTGCCAGAAGTATGGTACAGTGAATATACTCTGAAACGGTTTACAGGGTATTTTTGAGGTTAGCACGCTAATTGTGTTTGTGGCACTTGACAAAAGATGGAGCTGGCAGGCAGGCGGTCGGCCAGGACTCTGACTGATTTGCCAGCTGCAGAAGCGTCGTGTTCTGGGCTCATATGAATTGTTGGCTGCAAATGAATTTTAAACAGTTCTCTTCAGTTGGCTACAACAGACTTTCAGCCCCGCCCCCTTCAAGCAGCTCGTTGAAGCGCAACACGAAATGCGCACAGCTGTTGTGGCTTACATCTTGTTCAGAGTTTGATGACAATGGCAACAACAAATCATAAAGTGGACCAAGACAATCTCAAAACAGAGTGATGGGTAGAGGGAAAGGGAGAGGGGGGCAAGAGTGCACCTTGGCATCTGGTAATTGGATTAAGCTTCTTACCGACATAGCCTTGCTGAAAGCTTTCAGCACGACAGACAACTAACACTTACATCACAAAATCTGATTTTAATTTGCCTATTACTTATACGAAACAATTGAAGAGCAATTCTGTTGCAATGTTCAGCGTGTATGGAAATGATTGTTATCCAAGGACACTGTTGGAATTGGAGCTACCTAAGTGACGCACTCTTTAAGGCAACAGAGCCACACGGGTTCAGGTACGAATCCCTGCCTTGTTTATGGGTCGAGTAGTTGAAGCCTGAAGTTGGTAGGTTGATAGTTTCTAGCTGTATCCTGTACTGTTAGTCAGGGCTGCAAGTCGAACAAAATTTTCTTGCTGGTTCGATTCACGGTTCAAGCCAACTTCCTTGCTTAAGTTTCGCCTCATGCAGCTGTCTTTTCACCAAAATCCACAGCTGCCAAATATGGTTAGATAAATGATGGGTCTCTCAAACGTTTCTTATTTATATGTTTTGTGTTCAGGTTGCGATTGGGTTGTTTTTATCAACAGAGAAAACAACTTATAATTACTTTTTCAAATAAGTTCGGTTCAAGTCCGATTTGCAGCCTTGCTCTTAATAATATCATGTTTTCGACTATATTCCTGTACTGATTTAGAGATGAGATCTACAGACAACAAATCAATGTTGTATAGCAGCTGCTTGAGACTTCATTCTGAGCTTCAAGGCATGCAAATACTATTTCCAATTAATGCTTCTTGTAACTTTTCAACACTGTTCGAAAGGAACAATGTATTAGAATTGTGCTAGTCCAAAACTAAAAAATAAAAATAAAAATTGATATGCTCTATTGATTGTTAGTCTAAAATTTGAAAAAACAATAAAAATATTCAGAAAAGATAAAAACTTGCGGGGGCTAGAAAGAGTAATTTGTTTGTTTTTAATTTTTTATTTATTTGTTGTTATTTCTCACAATATTTTTCTTTATATTTTTGTTATGTCATAATTGGCATATAACTCGCAAAGAGCTGGTGAAACGCACGTAGGTGCCAGATAAAGCGGCATGCAGAAAGAATTATGGAAAGTAAGTTTGTTAGCCGGGCCAAAGCGGAGCGGCAGACAATGAGTCACGTGCGCCGATAGAACGATTATGTGAGTGCTCGGACAATGGCGAGCGCGCAGCGTCATCCGCTGGCCAGCCGCTGCAGCAGTGCCACCTGCGCTGCCTCATATAAGGCGGCGGTGCGGCCAACCAGACATCAGTGACAAACGTCAGCGACCCACAGCAACCACCCAACCACCCAATCACCCAACCAATCCAACCGATTTAAGATGTCAGCGCTCAGCCTCTGCCTGCTCGCCAGCCTGGCCTTTGTGGCCGTTGCCCAGTATTATGGCGAGTCCTACGACGACTATACCTTCGGCCAGTATGGCGTGCCGGTGGGCAGCGTGCAGCTGGATTACCTGTACAGTGACACGGGCTCGACCTATGGCAGCTCGCAGTACAACGCCGCATCGGGATCTGGCGCCAGATCGTATGCGTACGCCTCGGCCAGCGGACCCAATGGAGCCAGGGCCGTTGCCGAAGCGCCCGGCTCGTATATGAAGCCCGCCATGGGATCCTATCCGGCTTATCCGCCTGCCTATACAGCGGCGCCCACGACTGCTGCAACAGGTGCGACTGAAGCGCCCACTACAGCAGCGCCTACTACAGCTGCGCCTACTACTGCTGCGCCTACTACTGCTGCGCCAATTACTGCAGCGCCTACTACTGCAGCGCCTACGACAGTCGCGCCCACAACAGTCGCGCCCACAACAGTCGCCCCCACTACAGTCGCGCCCACAACAGTCGCCCCCACTACAGTCGCGCCCACAACAGTCGCGCCTACAACAGTCGCCCCCACTACAGTTGCGCCCACAACAGTCGCCCCCACTACAGTCGCGCCCACAACAGTTGCGCCTACAACAGTTGCACCAACAACAGTTGCGCCTACAACAGTAGCACCCGTAAGCAACAGCTCTCTCTTGCTCTCTCTCGCTTTCTCACACGCTCAGTTTTGCGCTTTCGTGTATTTTCTACTCATTCGTAAACGTTTTTCGCACTTTACTCTCTTGCAGATAAGTCCGCTTACGCTGGTTGTGACCGCTGCTGGTATCCAGATCTTGAGCGTTGCAATCGATCCGAGCTGTACCGTCGGCAATATCTACTCGATCACTTTGGGCCAGGCTGGCAGCTCCCTCTTGAATGTGTCGGGCTGTCTAACAATCTAATTGAAACGTTTCGGGTCTCGAAGTTTTTGTTTATGCATAGCTAAATACTAATCGTAAGCATGGCAAGTGCTATATGAAGTGTGTTCCATTAACCATACTAAAGCAATCATTAAAGGGCAATAAAGAACTCTATTTTATTAAATCATAATATTGTAATTGGGAAAACCACGCAGAACACCGATTTCGATGGATCGCTCCACTTGTGATAATTATGATATAAATAGTATGATAATTATCAAAGTACATTTTCCATACGAACAGGTGTTTGCCATTGTTTGACATGCTACGCAATTGTTTTTCTCTTTCGCATCGTTTTTTTCTCTCTCTTTTATTTCCATATTCAATTTTCTATGTTGGGTTCTATTTGCGTTTATTTTCCTAGGCATTGTTCGTGCTTATCTGCCAACAATAAATGGCATTAAAAAGCTTTACAAAAAAAAAAATAATAATAAAAAATTGACAATGGAGCAGCATTCAAAAAAGTTTGAGGCTTGGGTTTCCTTTTTCTCTCTCTCTCTCTCTCTCTCTCTCCATCCATGCCATAGCGGAAATTAGGGATACGCCATGGCTCTAGCTGCTGCCAAAGGCAACACTTTACACGCGCGCACACACACACCTACACCCACTCACACCTACACCCACACACCCAACAATTTACATTGAAATTGTTTTGACTGTGCCTTGTGCTGATTTTTGGCCTAATATCATTTCAGGTATCTTAAGATTAATTTATTTTTCTATTTGCGTCGGGCTCAAGTGCGACAAAAGAGTTTGGGTTTTGTTTTTATTATTTAACCAAGTGTCATTTACATTTAATTTCAATTTTAAGTCCTTGTAAAGGCTATTATAACTATGCCATGCAATGTGTAACGCATAGAAGGAGACATTTCCAACCCCATAAAAAATATATGTTATAGATCAGTATCAACAGGCGAGTTTATATAGCCACGTTTGTCCGTCCGTCCGTCCGTCTGTCTGTCACGTTCTATACGAATTAGTCGCTCAGTTTTAATGCTATCTTCTTGAAATATTAAATGGATCCGTCTTGCAGTAGCAGGTAGTACATAAGTCGGAACCGGAATCGGGCCACTATATCATATAGCTGGCAAAGAAACGATCGGTCGAACAGTAGGCTCACGCATGGAAAACCTTTTGTTTTTCAAGATATCTTGACTAAACTCCGCATTTGGCAGACTCACTGTACTCCGTACATATATGCAAAATCCTATCAAAATCGGGCCACCATATCATATAGCTGCCATATGGGAAAGATCGGTCGAAAGGTAGGTTTTGTATATGGCAAAATATTCTGTATTTCGCGATAGTTTCGTCAAACTTAGCATTTAGCTTTATTATTCTCAAGGTATTGTCTACAAGGGTATTAAATGTTCGACGTGCTGAAGATATTCCTACTTTTTCGTTTTGTCTATGTATGTCTATGTTTAACGTAAGCAGACGCCCCGTCATTGTCACTTCAATTGTATTCCGCTGTCCATACTGACCCACTTGATTGCCACTCGACAACCAATGTATCCAAGCTATGTTTTAATTAAATAATGATGTTTTTCGTCCTCCATTTTCACTTGAATTTTACGCATGCGTTCTCCATGTTCACTTTAATCTTGCATATCTGTTACTGTAGCTATTTGTGTACATTCTTTTTATAACTAGTATATAAACGCTTTCTTGGCTCAGCAGTTGGCTTCTCCATTGTCACTTTAGTTTTATTTGGCAATGTATGTCCTCCATGGTCACTTAACCTGTTCGCATGCTTAAAAAGAACCCTGTCTGTGTCATTTACAGCTCAACTCCTAGCCTGTATATTGCACAAGAACAACTCTTTTTACTTTCTCGCTCTCCATAGTCACTTTATTTCGTCCTCCACTGTCCAATTAGTCGTGTGCAACTTCTGTCTGTCAATCTTTGGTATCTAGCCCCACTTTCATTCATTTTAATTGTCTATTTTATTACAAATAATTCCTCTTCAATTTCGTTTATCTGCCTGTTAATATTCGCCGAGAACAAACTAACTATTTAGAGTTAGAATTTTGTTATTCACAATTGGCTTACGAACATAACACTGAAATGGAAAAGACAAATATAAATAACTCGAGCGTAGTTCATTTTTATTCAATGTCATTTGCATCACGTTCTTCTCTTGCTGCCTTTTTTTTTTGGCGTTTGCAACTCTTTTTAATTTGTTGAAAATATTTTTAATTGAATTTAATTCAGATTGGTTGCAAGTTGATTTGCCATCAAGCCGCCCGCCCCGCCAGAAGCTGCCATTATGTTTCATTCATTAAAAGTTTTGCGAAAATGGGAAAATTAAATGAGAAATAGGCGGAACAGGCAAGCCGATGCTTTAAATACCCTAACCTCTCTGTTGTATAAATGTAGGGGTATTTGTGTTTATGCATGTATGTGTGCAGGTGTGTATACATATATGTACATGAGTATGAATGTGTGTGTATGTATAATGCATATATAGATTTGTGTGACACAGACAGAGAAACATTAAGCTGCGCTGCAAGTTATTAACACGTATTTTTAAATACCTTTCTATGCGATTCTCATAAATGCAAGTCAGCCCTAGAGATTCTCATGCTAAAATGTTTTGGTGTCTATTAAAGAAAAGTTACTTTTGTGAGTGTGTGTACGTGTTTGTGCATTGTGCATGTATGAATGCATGTATTTGTACATATATAAATGTGTATATGTGTGTATGCATGCATGTATGTGTGTATGCATGCATGTATGTATGTAAGTATGCATGTATGTATGTATGTATATAAGTATGCATGTATGTATGTAAGTATGCATGTATGTATGTATGTGCGTATGTAGGTATGTATGTATGTATGTATATACGTATGTACGTATGTATGTATGCATGCATAAATGTATGTACGTATGTGTATGTATGTATGCGTGTATATATGTCTCTGTATACATGTATGTATGTATATGTGTGCATGTATTTATTGCAAACGCAGGCCAAGTTTAAAGCTGCAAGTTAAATCAAGTTTTTGTAATGCCCTCTTATGGGTTTACATACCTTGATTATAAGCATTAAATTAAAAACTTTTTGTGCCAATGGAATAAAGTTTGTCTCTACTCATAAACTAACTTCACTTTAATCTCTTACAGTTTCTTTCTACAGTATATATCTTCCTCTCCCTTTTTCTCGCATTATATGCCCGTCTCCCTTCACTTAATGCCAATGTGTGCGTGGATCTATGAATTTTTGGGGTAGTGCATATTTACATCATATGTACTATTCTATGTATCAAAGTATGAATAAGGATTTGTGTTGAGACAATTTGAGCCTGAGCAGACATAGTTCTATAAAAGCTGATACATCAATCACAATTATCGTTATGGCTGGAGTCCTTTTGATTTATATATGCAATCAAGTAAATCAATATAATGTTGAATAATCAGAGAGACATGTTTTATGTGTCTTTTTGTAAATTGATGCCTCTCATTAGCAAACAAAACGCATATGCCCTATTGTTAGAGTAAAAAGGCGTGTAAAAAGAATATGAAGAAAAAGCATGAAAAGTGTTTTTAGTTTTTCTCACACCTAGCCAGTCGCCGGCGGTAAACAACGAAAAATGAATATTGAAGCCAAAGCGGAAAACAAATCGTGAAACGTTGAAATTTAAAAGACAGCTGGGATTTTGGCCACCATCGATAACTGGCTATCAATTTGGCCAATTGTTCCGCCTACGCGGCTTACATTTTGCCCATTGTTGTTGCTGTTGTTATCGTTGTTGTTGTTGTTGTTGTTGCTGTTGTTGTTGTTGTTGTTGGCAAAGGCGGCATCTTAAGCCGGTTATCGACAAGCTAGCAAGTCACATAAATCAACATATTCTTGCTATACTCTATCCGCAGGGGTATTTATAATTTTGTTGCAGCCTTATGAATTTTCATTTAGTTTCCGATTGTATCCAAGACTGCATGGCGATACCAATTTTGAATTAAAGTAGTTGATACCCGATATAAATTCATTTATAAATGGGGCAGAAAGCATTGAAAAGGTATTTCCAATTTCGTATGTGAGAACAACATATATTGCTGATCTGATATGACAAAGCTAGGTATAGAAGTCTTTAGATGTTGCAGGATCCGATTCATATCTGATATCTTATAAATAATGTTCCACAACTAAGTTAAAATTGATCGAATACATTTTGTAGGTGCCATAAAACTATGGGAGCCATAGTTTCGAAAAAATTAGTTAAATGAAAACATGTATTCTGTTCTTATACTCTTCAGCCATTAATGCTTAGAGATGTGTAAAAAAAGTATGCTGATATCAACATCTATATATAAACATTCAACTTGAGCACGCTCAAGTACTTTCTACTTGTTGACAGTATTTAGAAGGCATTTAAATGAATTTATGTTCATTCTGTAAGGGTATTTAGACGACGACAGCATGCAGCTGGGTCTTGTATGAATTTTCATAAATTTGCTTAGCTGGGCAAATATTTTATTTAAATTTCATAGGGCATAAATCAAAGCGCAGGCCGACACGAGGCACGTTGCCCGGCTCAAAGAATTTGATTTTGATTTCATTCTTTTCACTTTCAATTGATATTTATGGCCGTGAAATTGGCTTATAGCATTGCGTATTCGCCCCGTTGTCGTTGTTGTTATTGTTGTTGTTTTTGTTTACAATTAATCCAAATCAGCGGAATGGTGGCGGATGGGCATAAAAATGTGTTTGTTATTTTTATTGGCTTTGATTACTTGAACTTGGCCCAAAGTGTTTGGCTCTTGACTCCATATGGGTTCGTCGGTGTGTGTGTGTGTGTGTGTGTGTGTGTGTGTGTGAGAGCGCTGATGCCGGAAATCAAATGAATCGATTAAACTGCCACAAATGTAGCACAATTTATGACAGCTACCTGCCACACCTAAGGGGCATTGCACATGTGGCAGTTGCCAACTGGCCGCAAGCCTCTTATAATTCGCCAGCCAGAAAATTGACTTCAATTTGCACAGGAAGCAAGTCATGAATTCCTAATCGGCTTTATGGCTCCAACAGGCAGCCATAAATTAGCTTAACACCCAGTTGATTTCTTATTGCAGCTAAAACCAATCGGAAGGGCAGAGGGAG